CCCACCATGGTACTAACACCACCAAACTCTAACTCTAATCCTAACAGGGTCATGGTGAGGCTTAGTATGAGGCCGGGACTATTGGGTAATCCGTCAAAAGTTAATTATTCAATTCATAGAAAACTTAAATTTATATTCGGTAAAATAAAATGCAGGTAGGTTGAATAGTTGTTTTAATAATGTGGTTTAGGATTGTAATGCAAGTAAGCTACAAGTGCTCAAAGGTCTTAGAGGTGGTCATGGGCTTAGGTTTGGGCTGGGTGAATGATTGACTTGAAGAGGTCTATTATGCTCCAGAGTGTAATACCTGACTCAGTAATGGAATCATCTCATTAGATATTTAATGAGTTTAAATGTTTTAACCATTGTCGATATGTTCAATTTGATCGGATACAGATTTTTGAGTTGTTATTTTTTGTGAGTGAATTTGATCTAAATAGATAGTCCTTCGAATTATCGTTTCAATGCCATTGACAGAGAGTCAATTGAATATTGGACAAAAGAGATATCTTCAATTTAGTAAAATGTTATATGGTAAGAGTTTATACCACAACTGTTAACTTAAAAAATTCACCGTAAATTGTGTATTGATTTAATTGATTTTAAATTTTACAGATAGATAGTAATTTTAGTTATCTATCAGTTGTCTCAAACACGAGGTCAATCAAAAGTTGGACAAGTGAGTTACAACCCAAAAAATATCTTAATGTCTAGGTCGTACGGTCACCTTACGGTCGAAAGATTTTAAAAAATGTGTTTTGCATATTTTGATGAATTAAAAACCCTTCCAACCCTAATTTCTCCCATATTTAGTCCTCTAACAGTGAATAAGGTTCATAGGAGGTTAGAAAATCACTCTATTCCATTCCAAGTCGATTTTTACGGTAAACCTTTCAACTAATTTATATTTTTGGATCTCGTTTCCATTCCAAAGTATTATTCAAGGCTTGATCCTCTTTTAATGGCGTAATTTCAGTTTGAGAATGGATTTTTTGGGTTCATGTTAAATTTTTCTTGGTTTTGGTTGGTAAATGATGTATTTGAACCTCATTTTCCATTTACCGATTAAATTTGATGTCAATTTTAAGAAATTGAGTTTAAGTGCGATTTTTCCCAAATTAATTTCTAACTTAGGGTTTTAAACTTAATTTGGAATGTAGGAGAGTTAATTGATGGGAATTTTCACATATTATTGCAATTGGACCTTAATTATACAATTTGAGATTTTGAAATTGTAGAATCGACGTCGTTTGACCCATGCTCTGATTTTTCAGCCTTGTTTAAATGATTTTTTACTTGAAAATGATTTATAAAGGTACTCTAAAACGTTGTGAATGATTTTGGTAGTTGTTGGATTGGGTTGGGATCATTTGGGAGCCCTGTGTGTGATTTTTTGTCTAAGTTATTGAGTTTTGTGCATTATTGTTGTTTTATGTTCGTGTCTTTATTGTGGTTTAACCTTGTTGTTTAAGATTATCCGGAGGTCCCGAATGGCTTGGGGTTGTTTCATGTTTCCATTAGGCGAGAAAAGTCTAAGGTTAAGGCAAAGGGTTAAATAATGTACGTTTGAAATGAATGGACCGTTACGATTATGTCTTAGTTTTTTGTCTAAGCTTCTTAGTGAAATGGACGATTTGATTGATAGGGAATGCATGGTAATTACACTTTATTATATTTCATGTTGTTTTGAACTCTGATTATAACAGGATGTTTGGTTTAAGAAATTCAACTCCAAATTTATTTGAGATTCAAAAAGTAATGTTGGCACTTAGGGTGCTAAGTGCTGATAATTCTACTCTGTCAAAGTAAAATTTGCAAGGTTTGAACAAAACCTGCACGTTTCATTCTAAGCACCATAAAAACCCACGCTACAAAAAGTATCTAATTACCTACAATATTATTAACTACGAAATATTTTTGAAGTTAAAAGGTGTTATTCAGCAATAAACTTTAATTTTACAGCTAAAAGTAAATTATATACTACAAAATTAATTGTCTCTAAAATCTTTTTGCTAGATTTCTATCTTTATGGTAAAAGGGTTTAGATAGAAAATTATTTTTCATAGCTAAATCCAGTTGGCTAAAAAAATCATGCATATTTTGTTGTTAAAACTCTTTTATTATGAAATCATATTTTTGTAGCTATATATCTTTTCTTAATTTTCATTGTAAAAAACTTATATTTCGATACGAAAATCATATTTACCGCCAAAAACCTTTACTGACGCTGTATACGCGATTAAATGAGTTTCATCACAAAATTCTTTTTGCTGTGAATTCATTATCTTTTGGTATAAAATTTTTTGTAGCTAAACTTCAAGTTTTTAACTATGCCAACACATCATTGCAAAGTAATGACATCAGACATTTTTCTACTTAACATGTATTTTTTAAAACTTTAAGTACTTAAGTTATCATTATTGTGAACACTACAAGAAAATATCATTTTTGTAACGAGATTTTTCCGTCTTTAAATTCACTTTTTCCGTTACTAATGATATTAGAGACGGAATTAATGATGGAATTACGTTAGCTACGTGATCTTTAGTGACGGAATTCCGTTACAAATATACTATTTTTTTTGTAGTGTGATAAGTTTTTTCAGAAAAGCTTTGAAATTTGTTTGGTAATTATACCTGTTTTTACTATCGTAATTCGTAATAGAAACTTTGAAAAAAGAAAAACCCATGCCTATGGCTCAAGGGCTAAAACACTAACATTTTTCCATATTTTTGGTCCATTCATTTCCACAAAGGTTGTCCCATAAAAAATCGTAATCTCCAAAGTTGTGCCATACATTTGCAGCACATTGTTAAAAAATAATGCTTAATTTTCTAAACACATACCTGAAGCAGTGACCAAGTTACAGCAACGTGAGTTCCTTGAGTTTGCCATAATAAAATCAAAAAAATTTAACATATCTATAGGACACAAACATGCATTAAGTGATTAAAGTGTTTGAATAACAATTTAAAAGGATAAAAATCATAATTTATAATTGATTATAAATATCTTCTTGAATTTGTTAACTTATAGTTTTAGATAGAATAGTTCTTTTTTATTAGTTGGGTCATTTCGGAAGAGTTGTGTGAATTATGCTTAATATTGAACAATGACACAAAATAAAGAAAAAGTCAACAAATTGTTTCCCCCAACCTGTCTCACCTCGACCCAACCAGATTGAAATTAAATAAGACACAAATCGAGTCTAAACAGATCCAATCTTCTTTTCTGATTATTTTCTTCGAGATGATAATGTGCTTCTCCAAAAATTATGTCCCTTTTCTCTCGCGATCAATCATGGTTGTTTCCTTGTCCTTAAGTTCTGATCTAGTTTGCTGAGATTCATTAAGGTATATTAGTTTCCTCCTTTTTCGGGTCTATCCATTCTTTCACCCACTATAAATATGTGTTGTGGGTTTGGGAGGATAGAGAACTGCGACATGTGTACTTATATGTGTGTGTGAAGCAGCAGACTTCTGCTTGTCTTCACCCGATAATAAGAGCCACAATATTTCTTGTTACGTGCCTGTTGATTTTTGGTTCTACATAATGTATTCTTTGCGTGAATCATTTAAAGGTTTCTTGGTTATTGTGTGCTAGAAATCTCAACAATCGACACTTCGTGTGTCACCTCAAAGGACAACTTGGAGTATTTTGGTGTAGGGATGGCTGTGATATGAGCCTAACAAATCGTTCGATAAAATTATTGCTTTATATTCTATTTTTCGTTAATTTCTTGAATTTGATTCTTTTTATATTTTTTTCAGCTAATATATTCTTGTCTAGAATTTGTGATTCCAGATAACCCACAAATCCAATTGATCAAAATCGAATGATACCTTGAATAAACAAATATTGTATGTTTAATAATTACATTTGTAAACAATTAAAAAAATAGGGGAAAATTAATACGTAGATGGATGTTTGCAAATTGTATTTACCTAGGCAATGCATTTTGTTCACATGTTGAACAATTGTATATAAATGCTGAACGAAAAGAAACATATGTTGAACATCTTGTCATTATTCTTGAGTGTTAATTGAATAAAATCAAAAGTCAATTACCTCAATTGTTTTATTTACGATCGTGGGTATCGATCGACTTAATAGAGATGTCTTTATTGAGCATTGTATATCTTGAGCGTTCAACACTTAATCCAACATACTTGTTCTTCTCTATGTATGCCAATAAGTTTTTAAAATGTTATGAATTCTACTTACTATTACAGATGATACCAATTAAAATTTTTATGACAAAGACATTCTAAAATTCTAGATAATTGTACTAACATTCTTGAAGAAAACTTCTTTCAAATTATTGTTTAATATGTTTTAAATTCATTCTCTTAAAGTTGAACTAGACATTTGATATAAATTTTGATTAGAAAATAGGTTTTATACAGAGTTCTTTATATTTATGATTGATAATATTTAAATATTACAAAAATAATTATAAAAACTCAAATAAACTAATATTAAATATAAATATCAAATAATTTCTTTTCTATAATGATGTACTAAAGCTCTTCCTAAAACGTACTGAATGCATTAAGTGGTTTAATCACATTTCTAATTTCATTATACAAGAGAAGAATTAAGACCATATTATAATTTATTATTTATTTTTAAACATTTAAAGAAAAATTCAGTAATTAGTAAAAGATAACAACAATCTTTTTGTAAAGACACATAATTTATTACTCAACCAATTATTTATTACAATTAAAAAAATTAGTTGGCCAGTATATTTAATTTTCAGGTATTTTTTTTAAAAAATAATAATAGTAATAATAATTCAATGTAATTAGATAATATTATTTTTGACATATAATTCTTTTTTTAAAAAAAATATTTTATTAATTAAAAAATTTAGAATGGACAGATGAGATAAGTATTCATCCAGAAGCCTTTTTTTTTTTATAAATATAAGAGTGTAGTCTTCAAACATTACTTAAAAATCCTGAAAAACTATCCTTGTTGCCACCCTACGTCTACCTATGGAACACCTACCGGCTCCGCCGCCACCCTCCCAGAACCCTAATCTTTCCGAACAGGGAAGGGGCAACAACGAAGTTGAGGCCGAGGGTGATGAACGTGAATATTCTTGTAATTATTGTGAAAAGAAATTTAGGAGCAAGCAGGCTTTGGGAGGGCACCAAAATGCCCACAAACTCGAACGGGCTATTGAGAGGAATGCTCGAAACTTTCAGCAAGCCCCATTTGGGTACTTTTCATGGGCAACCAGTCATGCCACTTTCTGGGGCTTACAATAAGCCCCACCAGGAACAACAAATGCGTTTTCAATATCCTGGAATCCATTTCAGGGTTAATCCCGGCCCGACAATGCAGCCGATTCCTAACATGGCCCAACCATTTATTCCCCGGGTGACACTGCCGCCTCCGCCGCTACCACCACCGGGATACAATATTCTCTTTTCTGGGTCACACACTGTGAGCAGAAGTATTAACCCTTTTTTGGGACTGGGTTCTTCTTCTCGAGTGGACCCTCAGTTGTTTATAAGCCCTCACGCTTTTACCAGTGGACCCAGCAGCAGCACAATTGTGGCTCGTCAGGGTGGCGAGTTTTCCCCTGCTGTACCAGGTAATGATGGTGCAGATTACTCCGAGACAAACCATTCTGGCTTAGATTTGACTCTAAAGTTATGAAATAAATGGTCCGAATGTTTTTTGTGGCATTCTAATTGTCTCCATGACATGATGGTCCTGGCTTAGATTGACTTATGTTTGACAATTGAGTTATATTGTATGTATTATCTATTTTGTTCAGCTTTTTATTTGCCATGTGGAGTTTGAAAGGATTCATCACATAAATTGTTGGTCTTTTTTTTAATTAATTTTTCCAGTTTTATAGTATAATGTAACAACTTGTTAATAAACATTACATTTAACACACATATATATATTGTAAAAATCAATTTAAAGCTATTCACACAAATTGTTGTTCTCTTTGTTCTTTAGTTTTATTATCTTCCCAGTTCTTTAACTTTGTGACCGCTCAATTTTAGTCCATCAACATTACATTGTAAGTGTTAACGAAAATTTATGTTTACTTATGACTTAATACACTGAAACTAACCATTTATATAATTTTGAACATAAAATATGGTTCGTATTGTTGGAATTGGAATAATTCAAACAACAATTGCAAAGGAAAAATAGAATCAAAAGGTTTTTCTTATTATACCGTACAATATACTAATACCCAAAGAAAATACAAATACTAAAGAACAGAGAAGAAACTGACATCTTTACAAACCGACGCAATTTAGAAACTACTGAATAACATAATAATAATAATAATAATAATAATAATAATAATAATAATAATAATAATAATAATAAACACTTTGAATCAGGATTAATAATTTTTAACACTCCCCCTTGATTCAAAGTTGGTAACATAAAGGCGTGCGCGAAGTTCTTCGAATCTTGCAACAGGCAATGGTTTTGTGAATAGATCGGCAAGTTGGGCTGATGTGTTGCACAATATAAGATGCACACTTCCTGCAGTTACCAAATCACGAATGAAGTGATGCTTTATTTCTATATGCTTTGTCCGGCCATGCATTATTGGATTTTTGGCAATTGCCACAGCTGATGGAACTATCACAATATAACACAGTTGGTTCTTTCTGCATTTGATTTAGATCTTCAAGGATTCTTCTTAACCAGATTGTTTGGCATGCAGCAGTTGCAGCGGCTACATACTTGGCCTCTGCAGATGACAAGGCAACAATTGATTGTTTTTTAGAAAGCCATGACACTGGACCTGCTCCGAAATTGAAACAATTTCCGGAGGTACTTTTCCTGTCATCGGGAAATCCTGCCCAATCACTATCGGTGAATCCTTCAAGAATGAAATCCTTACTTTGAGTATACCATATCCCATAGTCTCGTGTACCAGCAAGCTAACGTAAGATCCGTTTTGCTGCACCATAGTGTTGTTTGCTTGGACGATGCATAAATCTGGAAACTAATCCAACTGGAAATGCAATGTCAGGTCGCGTGTGGGTTAAATAAATTAACCTTCCTACCAAGCTCCTGAATTTGCTTGCATCTGCCAAACCAGTTTCATCATTGCTACTCAATTTTTCATTTGGATTCATCGGAGTAAAAGCAGCGATACATTGGTCCATGTCAAGTAGCTTGAGCACATCAGACAAATATTTTCTTTGAGAAACAAACACACCTTCTGGAACTTGCTTGATTTCCAGCCCAAGAAAAAAAATGTAATTTTCCCAAATCAGTCATCTCAAAATGATTCATCATAATTCTTTTGAATTCATCAACTTATGTTGTAGGTGCACCTGTATATATAATGTCATCAACATAAATGCTGATGATGACAATTTTCCCGAGACTTGCTTTCTTTATATACAACGTCGGTTCACTCAAACTTCTTTCAAATCCATTTGATTGGAGAAATTCATCTATCTTGCTGTACCAAGCTCTCGGCGCTTGCTTGAGTCAATAAAGAGCTTTGTTCAAGCGATATACTTTATCTTTCTCCCTTGCACAATAAATCCTTCGGGTTGTTGTACATAAACTTCTTCTTTTAGATCTCCATAGAGAAAGGCAGATTTTACATCAAATTGATATATCACCCACTGATAGTGAGCAGCCAAGGAAAGAAGAACCCGTATTGTATCAAATCTCGTGACAGGAGCAAATGTTTCATAGAAATCAATGCCCTGCTCTTGAGCAAATCCTCTCGCCACTAGTCTTGCCTTGTGCTTCTGCACACTATCATCAGAATGATATTTAGTCTTAAATAGCCATTTCAAGCTTATTGGTTTTTTTTCTTTTTTTTAATTGGAAAATCTACCAATTCCCATGTCTGGTTTCTCTCAATGGCCATTATTTCTTCTTCCATTGCCTTTTTCCAAACTTCATTATGCAAGGCTTCCTCTACGGTAGTAGGTTCTCCAACAAAGAGTGCAAACGTGGATGCATATATATCATTAAGAGACCTTTGTTTGTTTTTCAGGAAAAAAGGTGATGGGGAATCGGATGATGAAGAAGGAGTAGAAGAGGGGTACACTGCTGGACCTGTCGTTGCTGCTACAACTGTTGTCGGTGCTGCTGGCGCTGTTGTTGTATCTGCTGCTGCTGCTGAGATTACATGGTTTTCTTGAACTATAAATTCCTCATTTTCCTTATTGTTGTTGGATAGCTCTATCTCAGCCTCTGAACGTAAACTTGGCTTCGATTTTTTCTACCATTAAATCCCAAGTTTGTTTTTCATCGAAATGAACATCTCTACTAACAATTAATTTCTTGTCCTCGGGATCAAATAAACGATAAGCCTTTGAGTGTGTCAATATCCGACAAAGATACATTTTTTTGCTTTCTGTTCGAGCTTATGCCTCCCAGCAGCCACCAAAACATAACAAACACAACCGAAGACCCTTAGATGATTCACAGAAGGCTTGTATCCGTACCATGCCTCGAAAGGTGTTTGATTCCATACGGCTTTAGTTGGAGATATGTTGGCCAAATAGACTGCTGTTGCAACTCCTTCAGCCCAAAAATAATCCGAGAAACCTTTCAATTTAATCATAGACTGTGCCATTTCAACAATATTGCGATTTTTCCTTTCAGCGACGCCGTTTTGCTGTGGCGTGTATGGAGCTGTTAATTCATGTCTGATTCCATGCTTGTCACAAAATGCAGTGAATTCTTTAGAAAGAAATTCTCCTCTTTGATCAGAACTTAATATTTTCAATTTAAAATCACTCTGTCTTTCAGCTAAGGCTTTGAATTTCTTAAAGCAATCAAATACTTCGGACTTTAGCTTCAGAAAATAAACCCAACTCATGCGCGAAAAGTCATCTGTGAATACAAAAAATACTTACTTCTAGAATGAAATTCTGTTTTCATTGGCCCACAGACATCTGCATGAACAAGCTCAAGTCGATTTGCTGCCCTTCTAGCCTTTCCGACAGGAAATGATTGTCTGCTTTGCTTGCCGAGAGCGCAGCCCTCGCAAACGTTGTTTGAATCATGAATACGCGGGAGTCCTTCCACCATATACTTCTGTTCTAAGAGTTGAAGTCCTTTAATGTGAAGATGACCATATCTTTCATGCCATAATGTAGAGTTATCAACTTCACCATTCACTCGAGCTTGGACGCTAGATAATTCAATAGGAAACATCCTATTATTTGACATATTGATTGAGAAAATTTCTGATGTTCCTTTTTTTATACAGCATGATCCATTCTGAAACACAACTAAATATCCATTGTCTACAAGTTGTCCAATGCTTATCAAGTTGTGCGCAAGTCCAGGCACATAATGTACATCTTTAATTAATTTTTCCTTACCACCAACCTGCGACTTCACAACTCATTTTCCTTCAACATGTAGAATTTTTTCATCACCAAGCCTAACTTGAGATCGAAATGATTCATCCAAATCCTTGAATTTTCCTTTCTCTCATGTTAAATGATTCAAGCACGCACTATCCAAATACCACACTTCCTTAGACAATTTGTCCCCACTCACATAGGTCATAAATAAAAATTCATCTTGATAATTCTCTTCTTCAGCATACGTAGCCTGGCTTGCTTTGCTCCAACAATCATCCTCCTTATGTCCAATCTTTTTATGGAATGTACATTGTACAAAACTTCGTTGATTCCTACCGCGTCCATGACCTCGAAAGAAGCCTCTTCCTCTTGCACAATTTGGGAATGAACCATTGTGTGTTTCTTGAACTTGAAATGCATTATCTTCATCATCACCATTGCTACGGTTGATTCTCAGTTCATGTGCTTGCAGTGAACCCATCAACTCATCGACCATGAAAGATTTAAGATCTTTCGACTCTTCTATGGTTGCTACTACATGATCGAAGTTAGGGGTAAGGCTTCTCAGAATTTTTGCAACAATTACTTCCTCTTTAATCTCCTCCCCATAGGAACGCATTTGACTCGTAATTGAGGAAACTCGAGTCATGTACTCTTGCACAATTTCACTTCTCTTCATACTTGCGGTTTCAAACTCTCTTCTGAGTGATTGTAGTTTGACCGTAATGACCTTGGTAGAGCCTTGAAACTCTAATTTCAATATATCCCACGCCTGTTTCGCCGAGGTTGCTGCTGCAATCATTGGAAAAATCGATTCATCGATTGCGTGTTGAATAAAGAAAAGGGCTTTTGCAATTTTTTTTTTTTTTTTTGTTTTCCTTTGCTTCTCCCTCATTTGAACCTGATGCTGGTATGCCATGCTCGACAAAATCCCATAGATCTTGCACCTTGAACAATTTTTTCATTTTGATGCTCCAATATTCACACGCTTCACCTTTAAATATTGGAATTTGAGGCTGCGAAGCACTGCTGGATCTGCTAGATGCGCCATCACAAACTTGGCTCTGATACCACAATGTTGGAATTGAAATAATTCAATGCAAAGGAAAAGTAGAATCAAAAGGTTTTTCTTATTATACTGTACAATATACTACCACCCAAAGAAAATACAAATACCAAAAAACAGAGAAGAAACTGACACCTTTACAAACGGACGCAATTTAGAAACTATTGAATAACATCGTAGAAATAATAATAATAATAATAATAATAATAATAATAATAATAATAATAATAATAATAATAATAATAAACACTTTGAATGAGGATTAATAA